CGAGAATTTAGGGCTAGAGGATCACGCTTATGTATATATGTATGTATGTAGGTAAATCGACTAAAAATCTATCTCTCTCTGTCTCTATCTTCTGCTGTCTCTGCTTTGCCACATTCATGATAATCGACTAAAGCATTCAACACCTTTTGACAGTTTCCTGTATTGTCTCATGCATTTATGCAAAAGGCAGGTGATTAAATTCACACTATGCTCTCGCTCTCGCTCTCGCTTTTGCTCTTGCTTTTGCTGTCTGTCTCTAACGGTAGCTACATCCGACAGCTCCACACGAACGCATTTTAATTGCCAGGATAATAATAAATAGAGATTCTCGCTTCATTAGTTCAAATGCCAAACAGGTAGCTCTCGACGAGCCGTGCCAGCCCCTTGACAATTATTTCCGGCGTTTGTTTTTTTTTCTTTCTTTCTTCTACTTCTTTTTTCTCTCTTTTCTGTTTTCAAACGAAATGCCTGCTTATCAAGATTGCCAGCAATGCACGCCCACTCTGTGAAATCTGTGTGTGACCAAACGATCATTTCGTTGGCATCCTAGTTAGGCGTCCTCAGTTGCGGTATGTCCTCTGTGATGCCTCAGACAGCCGCCAGCTGTGCAGCTCGTTGGGGGGTGTGCAACGGCAGCAGCAACTCCTCTGAGCAGCAACACGTGTTGAGCTGACCACCAGAGCGTCCAATGGGCATGATTCACACACACTCACGATCTTAGCGCGTCGCTTGTCGGCACAAAAGTGACGATTAAAGTGAAGCCAGGCCAAGGCAAAAAAAAAGGGCAACAACAACAACAGCAAGGCACACACAAAAACCAAGAACAACAACAGCAACTGCAACAAAACGTTAAAACAAAATTAATACCAAAGGCAGGCAGTCGTAAAAACTGGCCAAAGCTGTGATCCTTTATGGCCCCGCACGATGGCAGCCGCAAAGGCAGATTGAGTACCAAGATTTCAAAGGGGCGCGTGATCGCCATCAAAATGCTCGTGGAGGCAATTTAAATTGTTAAAGCTGATGCTGATGCTGAAGCTGAAGCCGAGGCTGACGCTAAAGCTGCGGCTGCGGCTGCACTTGGAGCAGAAGCTGCAAGGCGCGGCAAGGCGCGTGCAGCCACAGAACCTGCTGCTAAAGCAGACAGACCCAGATAGAGAGAGACAGAGAGATAGACAGAGCTAGAGTGTGGCTGTCACTCGCGTGCTGGGTGTTGAAAAATTTGGCATTCGTCTGTTATTTATAACAAGAGCTGTCTGCCCATGGACACAAACAACAGCAGCAGCGATGCGCCACGGGCAGCGAAAAGAAGTCAAGGTTATGTCTAGGCTGCAACTATGTAAGATGCCACAGCACGTTGCAACATTGTTCGGTGTTAATTTATAGTTCGTTGCACGGAATTAGTGCAAAATTGCTGCGGGTAATTTTAAGTAACTTGTTCATAACTCAAAATGATGGCAGTATTAAGTCAAGCGCTGGGTAAAAAACTATGATTTGATATGTTACTAAAATTTAAGCTTTTACATAATAGGTATACCACATCTTTTTTATGAATAAAACAAATTAAAATATATAGCTACAGAGAATTGTGGCTCTATATAAATTTAAAAAGTAGCGCGAAATTCATTTTTGGCCTCTACAGCACTAATTGCTAAGCAACACAAGCTGACTGCTATGCAACTCGCGCGATTTCTTACTTGAGTAAAAACCAGTCTGGCAACTCCGTCAGAGTATGTTGCTGTCGTCTACCAGCTGCGTGCTATGTTATTTCAACAATTAACGTTTACTTGGTTGAAAAATTAACTTAAATTGCTTTTGTAAAGAAAATTGTGAAGATCACACGTATATTTTTGAGAAATTTACCAAACGATGCTTTTTAACAGAACAAACAGCACAAACATATTGCTGCTTAAAATCGCCTCGTTTTCTCAGTATCAAATTATATGAGTTTCGCGGTGCGATTTTTATTAACACAAACAAGGCATTAATATCTGATTTATTTTCACTTGACTCGATATACATTTATATAATTACAGTGGCTGCAGCTGTTGCCCGGCTCTGACTGATGGGCTGGCTGTCCAAAGGAATCAGCGCAAATTGGCATCAAAACAAATATTTGCCCGAGGTGGCAGCCAAAGCTCACAAGTTTCAAGCCTAATGACAGGATGAGCAATGTGATCCTCAGCTAACAAAGGCAGACACTTTGGACACGGGCAGTGGCAATGGAGATGGGCACTGACTCTGACAGTGGCTCTGGCTGCGGGCTCCTTTTCACACCATCAGCAGAGCTGTCGACGTGCGACGGTGCGATGTGGACACACCTTTTGCCACAGCAGCTCGTTGACTGTGTCAATTCTGGGAATGTCAGTTGTTCCTGGCTCGAAGACGTCCGACAGCCGGGCAATAAAACGTTGCAGCAAATTAGCGCTTTATTGCATGTTTGTTTGGCTTGCCATGGCTGAAGTGGCAGCAACGTCTGCTGTTTGCCAGCTAAGCGAATGCCGTTAAGTTCTGGTTAAAGTCCCAAGCCAAAAAGCAGAGAGAAACACAATCAGATTATAGCCTGCAGCTAGTTAAACAAATATACATATATCATATATGTATGTACATATGTATATATAATCTGTAAGCATTTATTGACATTTCAAGCACCTGCTAATTTTTGGATATTCGTTTTCTTTTTTCGTGTTTGCTCTCCTCTTCATATATCTTTCATATAGGTATATCACAACTATTTACAGTTCATTTCCGTTTCCTTAGAGGTTTTTGTCTTTCATTTTTTGTATAGCTCAGCTATCCAGGTCCAGGTGTCCTGTCCACCATTAAGTTTGGCTATTTATCACATTCGTTCAGTTTTTGGAGTTACCGGTTCCTGTTCCAGTTTCCAGTTCCAGTTCCAGTTCTAGTTTCCAGTTGGGTGTAAGGCCAGCATCATAACGGCATCTGAAGCGGCTGTGTCAGCTCTCTAAGTAAGGCACTTGGGTGTATAAACGTTCACCACCGAATCCCAACCACAGTCGGCCAGCTCATGAGCCCGCTGTGGATTCCAGTCCAAGCCGCAGACAAACTCTGTGTGCTGAGCATTAACTTCCTGTGCGGATACACCGGTTGCTAGGTCCCAAATGCTGTGGAAGAGGGGAATATACACAAGTGATCTAAAAACTCTAATAAGTGGATGGATAGAATAGAATTCATATCCCATCTCATTTCACATCCTACTACTCCCTACTCTAACTCGGTCTTCAGACTGTCTTAGGCGAATCCTTTGCTTTCCCTTTGCACCCATAGCTCTTTCCCCAACTTACCGTGTTGTAAAGTCGTAATTGGCTGAAGCAAGCACCGTTGCCGAGTGCGGGGAGCAGGCCAAACGTCTGACCGCAAATTCTCCAGAGTACAGCTCGAAGATGTGTGTGCGCATCTTGCGCAGGTCCCAGCCACGTATCAGACCATCCGATCCTCCCGTCAGCAGCACATTGCGATCGAAGTGACTCCAGTCACAGGAGAGGGCCTCGCTGGCATGCGCCTCGATGCTCATCAGGGGTTTACCTGCAAAATCAAGAGAATTCCATAAGTTTAAATGCCCATCTGTACTTACGCTGGCAAAGAGATTCGCAATGAGCGGCGAATACTTTGCGCAATATATCAAATCATTGTGTCCCACAAACGTCGTGATGGAGTTCTGCCTGTTGCAGTCCCACAGCTTGAGCGTGCAATCCCAACTGGCCGAGAGGAGTGTGTGATAATTCCATTTCTCGCCCCAATCCAGACTGTAGATCTCATTCTTGTGCTCCTGCAGGCAGATCAACGGCTCTTTGGGTGTTTGCTCTGTCACCACCGATTCGACATCCAAACCCGACCAAATCTGTAGCGAGCCATCGCCGGAGGCAGTGGCTGCTATATCAGCGGCATATGGACACCAGGCGACATCGAACAACCCATCCGACCACTCCAGCCGACACAATTCTGTAATATTCTGTTCATTGATGCTCAACTGAGCGTCTTTTGTGGAGTTTTTGGCAAGTAAAAAGAGCGAACCGCCACCAGCAAGACCGTACAATTGGCTGTGGAAGAGGATAGATTAGATAGGGGTAAAAATGAGGGTTGTCTCTGGAGCTTACCTAGTAGCGAGCAGCATGTGATTTGCCTCAAAAGGCGAGAAGCGCAAGCTATAGCCATGACGATCGGTTGTGGTGTGGCTCTGTGTTTGCATTGCTAGGCTGAAAGAGATAGATAGATAGATATATGGATTAAGATTAAAGTACATTGTAATAGAGACCGATATATGGATATATATTGAGCTATTATATACGCATATTATATTTTATTGTGATTTTTATTTTATTTTTAAAGTTTTAAATATTAATGCTGACATAAATTAAGACTAAGTTTGCTGTAGAGCTGTATGAGTAGTTCCTACAATGATCTATCACATTCTAGAGTTCCCGCTCGTAATCGTGTCTGTTTAGTTTGTTTTTACGCCAACAACTGCACATACATAGAATATTCACAATCTAACATTTCGACTTTAAATAGATAAAAATTAATATATTGATATTTGATTTACTCTAACACACTGCCTGAGTGCTCCACTACCTTCTAGGGTTTCCCAATGCAAAAATAAATAGAGAAGAGACCTCTCCACAAAGACTTGCGTGAATTTCACGCAAAAGGTTTTTACGCACGAGTTTGAGCTTTCGCTCTGTGCTAATAGCTAATCAAATGCTAATCCTCCTGCCGAACTTACGACGAGCAAACATTTGGCTGACCTCGCACGAGGTCGCGAACGCGAACGCTACTTGACATTAGCCAATTTGGCTGGTCAAACGGAATGGCGTGGAAAACTGCGCAAAAGAACGTTGCCGTAGTTGTTGTTGTTCTTGTTGTTTTGTTTATACAAGTCGAATGCATAACGGGCAAATCCATTTAGTGAACGCAGTGAAACCCCACGGGCAGGGCCAGTGGAAAGGTATATAAGCAGGTACGGCCGTAGCTCAGTTTTGCATTTTCCTCGACCAGCGGCGAATTGCAGAACGTCTCCAGCTCCGGGCGCAAGAAAAGGAATATTATTATTATTTTAGTGGACATCTTAATAGAATTAGTACAAGATGGTTGTATCCGTGAAGGTATTTAAGAAGGCCACGCCCAACGGCAAAGTGACCTTCTATTTGGGCCGTCGTGACTTCATCGATCACTTGGATTACTGTGATCCCGTCGATGGCGTTATCGTTGTGGAGCCAGACTATCTGAAGAATCGCAAAGTATTTGGCCAATTGGCCACCACCTATCGCTATGGCCGCGAAGAGGACGAGGTCATGGGCGTCAAGTTCTCCAAGGAGCTGATCCTGTCGCGGGAGCAAATTGTGCCCATGACGAATCCAAACATGGAAATGACGCCCATGCAGGAGAAACTGGTGCGCAAATTGGGCAGCAATGCTCATCCGTTCACCTTCCACTTCCCACCCAACTCGCCCAGCTCTGTGACGCTGCAGCAGGAGGGCGATGACCTGGGCAAGCCACTGGGCGTGGAGTACACCATTCGCGCCTTCGTCGGTGACTCCGAGGACGATCGCCAGCACAAGCGCAGCATGGTCAGCCTGGTGATCAAGAAGCTGCAGTACGCGCCGCTGAATCGTGGCCAGCGCTTGCCCAGCTCGCTGGTCAGCAAGGGCTTCACCTTCTCCAATGGCAAAATCAGTCTGGAGGTGACACTGGACCGCGAGATCTACTATCACGGCGAGAAGGTGGCGGCCACGGTGCAAGTGTCCAACAACTCGAAGAAATCCGTGAAGAGCATCAAGTGCTTCATTGTGCAGCACACCGAGATCACAATGGTGAATGCGCAGTTCAGCAAGCACGTGGCACAGCTGGAGACCAAGGAGGGCTGCCCCATCACTCCGGGCGCCAATCTGACCAAGACCTTCTACCTGATCCCACTGGCGGCCAACAACAAGGATCGTCATGGTGTGTGCAAGAGGTGAACTACGCGTTGCTTGGACGCGATTTAACTAACATACACTCCTCAGGTATCGCTCTGGATGGCCATTTGAAGGATGAGGATGTCAACTTGGCTTCCTCCACCATGGTCCAGGAGGGCAAGTCCACGGGCGATGCTTGCGGTATTGTCATCTCATACTCGGTGCGCATCAAGCTGAACTGTGGCACGCTCGGAGGAGAGATGCAAACGGATGTGCCCTTCAAGCTGCTTCAGCCGGCACCTGGTAGGTCAAAAGCCCAATCCGCACTCACTTTTCATGCTCACTCTTTTGGGTTTCTCTCGCCAGGCACCATTGAGAAGAAGCGCTCGAATGCCATGAAGAAAATGAAGTCCATTGAGCAGCATCGCAATGTCAAGGGCTATTACCAGGACGACGACGACAATATTGTATTCGAGGACTTTGCCAAGATGCGCATGAACAATGTCAACATGGCCGATTAGTTCCGATAAACCATATATAGATATATATATGTATAATGATATAACCGATCGAAAGCACTGAAAACTTGTTGCAGCAGTCTCATAGAGGCCACAATATTTGTATTATAATCGTATCGTGTAGCGCGCTCTCCTCTATTCTCTACAAACCTTGGTAGATCTGGAGTTTTTAATGTTGAAATGTTGAAACGACCTCGTGTCCTTATATATTTTAATTAAATGTTAATTGTCTTATGGCTATCTACAACACTTACGGCTCTTTCAGTTTGTCAATTCAGAGAGTCTTTCGTTTTGGCTTCAGACGGAGTTCAAGGAGGCTCTAAAGAGTTCTCGATGTGCTGTTGCTGAGGCTTTCAACTTCAGAAGTCGAATGAGCTGCTGTCCTTCGGCGCGCCACGAGGAAGGCTTCAGGGGTTGCTCACAAGGGGGTTGCAATGAGCTCTCTGTGCCATAGGTCAGCCAAAGCACAAGCAACCCTTAAGGCCAGGGCAACAGGCGGTTGAACAGCCAATCAGCAAGGCTTCGCCTGGACATGGCCGTTATAAACGGTTACAAAGGAAGTGCGAAAAACTTTTGATATGCTAAATAGTTAAGCTTTGAACTTGCCTAGGCAGCCGTTGCTCTGACCTTGATAATGGCTAATGGGCAGCTGCTCTATTTGCCAGAGCTTTGGGTCTGATCTCGCGCGCACTCTCTCTCTCTTTGTCTGTGCCTGGGCTCACCTTATATAATGCGACGTAACGTTTGCCGATCGTTCGAGTATTGCACAATTTCGATATCGAGGGACTGGGGCAGCGTTGAATCGATTTCACACACCGCTGACTCCTGGGCAGCGGCAGTAGCAGCAGCAGCATCGACTCAACTTCCGGCATTGGGCCTGACCGTAGCCAAGCCCCAATGCCCAAAGTCGTGCCACCTGCCCCAGCTATAAATGCCAATGTTGTTGTCAAAATCCAGCCACAAATTTGACGAACGTGCCACGAGATGGAGCTGCTAACCAACACGAATTTGCCCACTGCTTTGCTAGCCCTGCTGCAACTGCTGCTGCTGCTGCCTTCGGCTCAGCCGCAACATTATTTTCCGCACAGGCAGCTGCATTACTACGATGCGCCGCCTCGTCTGCGCCGCGTGGAGTATGTGGCAGCGCCCTTTGTGGGCGGCTATGTGGCGCCACCTGCCGCACACTACCAGCAGCAGACGCCCAACTTCCAGTTGCTCAACTATCGGCCCAGCTATCAGCCCCTGGCCTTGGAGTACCAGCAACAGCAGCTGCCTGCACCACAGCCAGCAGCTGCACTGCCAGCCCTGTATCCACAGCCGAGTGTGCAGTACTTGCAACGTTCTGCGGCACCGCCTGCCGAGCTGGCCAAATATCGCTACGAGGGCAACTATATGCCCGTGCAGCAGCGCGTGGCTGTGGCGCCTGCACCGCAACGACAGCCACAGGCGCAGCCACAGCCGCAGCAACGTCTGGAGGAGCAGTTGTACAATGTGCCGCCGGTTCTGTTCACCAGCGATGTGCTGCATGTGGTGCCCTCTCGAGCGGCGAACGCGCTGCAACAGCAACAACATCAGCAGCAACATCTACAGCAGCAACAGGGCGCTCAACGCTCCCGTCGCTTTGCGTCCAGGCAGGATGCGGATGCAGTGGCAGCGGAGTCCAGAATGGACACTGAACGACCCACAAAGGAAACCAAATATTTTCAGTAAGTGAGATGCTCTCTCCTTAATCTAGCACTCTCCACAAATTCACAATCCAACTCGTGGAAGCCTCTTCTAATAAGTGACAATCATGCAGGAGACTCCTGCTAAATGAGAAGTCCTACTCAATTTTTTACCCCCATTTTTAGTCCCATTTCATGCAGAAACCTAATAATATTAAAAATTCGTCTAAATTTACTTGTGCTCTCTTCTTCACTTATTTCTCACTCTATAATATTCCATATACTTATCTACTATAACTCTGCTATCTTATCCCATCTCTTCATCTCTTTAGTGATATCTTCATGAGATTCGATGGACCCAATGCGCGCAGTTATGGACATGTGCTGGATCATCCGAAGGCGCGCGAGCGACGTTTCGAGTCTCAGCGTGGCACAAATCGTTACAAGGGCGAGGTAAATAAAATATCCAGCGGAATCCTAGACAGCTTTTAAAATACATGCTTCCAGGTCATATGGACGGATCGTCGCGGTGCTCATGGCGAGCATCGCTGGGACATGGCGCAGGGCAAACTCTGAGCTGTACTTCAAATGCCTTAACTCCTTACTTTTCTCTCTCTCTCTCTTCCTCTCTCATTCTCTCATTATTTTTATCTCTGCCTTGACAACTGCTCAGTAAATCGTGACTTTTCATAATTTTGGCGTATTATTTATTTAAGGGCAATGATTTGGCGTGAAATTCGAAAGGTCCTGCAAAAGATTTGCATAAGAAAGCAGCCTCAATATATTCTTATCATAGGTCAGCGCCGGGGAAGCCTTTGCAGTATTTTCTCACGGGCCACACACACACAGCCAGGCGAGAAAAAGTGGACTGTCCGGTTACACGACTTTCCGCTGTTGTCGCCAGCACTGGCCCATGGAAAAAGGTCAACTTAAGCAACTATCCTTTCGATCAGGAACTGGTTTTAGGCAATGACCCGAAATGTCCTGCAGTTACTTAGTTACAACAGAACAGGACAGCACAGAATAGATCAGACAGTCGTCAGACAGTCCATCAGTCGACGAATGCGGGTCATATGCAAATGGGCCGAGCTCCGTCAGGAGAGGGTTGAGCGTGCTGCAGGCGGGTTGAGCGTCTTGTAAGTCGGTGACCTCAAGGGTTGCAGCTCATTTACATTTACAGCGGCTTGAGGCGCCGTTCAAGTGACACAAATGCCTCAGGCCGGCAATGTCCAGTTATTATTATTTATTGTAGGTCTGGCATATAGCCGATAGTTGCAACAGCTGACCAACTTACACGGTTCCGGCGATATGCAGCCAGGGATCAGCTTAAGATCAATTCTCTAGTCGGGCATACAGGTAGGTAGGGCAAGCAGCCCATTTGCCGACGTAGCCATGCGGGTCTGTCAGTCAGCGACTGTCCAGAACCGGTTACAGTTCGGTTCTTCTGGCCGATAAGGTCATCATCGTCAGCAGCAGCGCCTTGATCTACAGTGATAACCCTTGGCTTTCGCCTGGTTCTCACACTGTTTTCTTGCTGCTTCTAATTTATGCAAGGACATTGCGAAAGGACACTATTGCCAGAGCAACTGCTCGATTGATGTGGCGCGAGTTGCACACAGAGAGAGAGCGAGTTCCCAGAGTCCATAGACCAACCGGTTTGACCGGCCCGAGCTTTGTCTGGCGAGCATCTTCGGTGACCACGCACGCTCGCTGTGAGAACTTCTTCCACATTTACGCTGGCCTTTGTCAGCACCCAACAACTGGACGAACGGGTTGTCATATGGTCGCTACACTTGGATCTTGTCTGTGCCCAATGCCTTAAGGGTTAGCACATTGATTTATGCGCAATTAAATTCTGTTTACACACCAACCATGTGGCTCTACAATTATTAGACCGTCGAAAATGGCCAGAAAGAGGCAGGAATACTGGGCTATGAGAGCAGTACGAAAGTAAATGGATATCAGTACGAAACGGAGATTGGCCAGGCAACGTTCGACAGAGTAGTTGAAGAATATACTTTGAATTTAAATAATTTTTATAAACTTAAAATATAAATTTAATGTCTTATACGACGTGAAATATTCATATTTAAAATAAATATTTCATATATAAAAACAAAGTCGTTGACAAAGTTCTAGATTTTAATTTTTCAATTTTTATAAGAAAATAGAAGAGCCTATCTGAAGCAAAAATCTATCAATAAAGAAAATAGACTTCAATTTAAGTTTACTATTTTCTGACTTACCCTTTTCCATAAAAATCAAACACAATATTCTTAAATTTTATTTAAATGTTTTTTTTTATAAAAATGTTTAATTAAATAATCTAAATCAGAAAATCAATAAAATATATATCGAGTACAGCAAGGAATTTCGATTGCTTGAGCCATACGCAAACATGGGCAAATGCACTACAAACTAAGGTCGAGAGTCGTGTGTTCAGATGCATTGATGTATAATATTATGAACGCCTCTATAAACTACATGGACTTGCGGAACTTTCAAGAGAGGATACACCGCGTACAGCATCCTTATTGGTATTGATGGTACTGCGGCTGCTGCTGCTGCTGTGGCTGGTACTGCTGCTTGGCCTGGCCATAATCCTGCTGGGCCTTGTGGCCGCCGGCGCGTAGCAGCTGCGTTGCTGGTGGGGGTGTTGGTATCTTGACGACAATGTCGGTGGGTTCGCGAATGACCTCCGCCTTGAAGCCCTCCTTGGGGTCCGCTGTGTACTTGACGGTGCGTATGAAGCCATCCGAATCGACCACAGAGTAGCTGCCCTTGATCACCGAACCGTCGCGAACTTCTTTGCGATTCTGATAGTTGGTGAACTCATCGTCTTTCACATCGAAGCCAAATTGATACGAGGAGTTTTGCTATGAAGAGACAGAGAGAGAGAGAGAGAGAGGGAGAGAGAGAGAGTTGTATTTGCATATCAAGTTGAGCATTTCAAATGCGTAGCGCAATGTGACCCAGTTTTACTTCAATTACAACACACACGGTGACTGCGCATGCATGTGGGCGTATGGGCGTGTATCTCTGCGTGTGTGTGTGCGTGTGTGTGTTTATCCCCGACTGGAATATTCAAGCCCAGATCGAGTTGCTCAACACGCACAAGTGAAAGTAATTTGAAGCCGACTTGCATATTTTTAATGACACGAACAACTGCAACCGATCGCTGGGGCATGCAGCGATCGCATGTTGTCTTATGCAACCAGCCACTCAAATCCCCAGAAATCTTTTTGCACGTAATGCCCAACGAGGCCTGCCCCTAGATATACATAAAATTACACATTTATTGATATCTTGCGCATAATTCATGCACAAGGTTGCATTGCCCCCTTCACAGTTGACGAGGAAGCGACCAAAGAGTAAGGCTAAGCTCTAACTGGGTTAAGGTAAACCAAAGCCAAAACGTGCCCAAGAGGCGTGTTCGCCAACAGCAATTGTTCTTAGCCTGACGTGGCCCAAAAAGAAAAAAACGAGCCAGCCGAAAATTGATTGCAAATGCTGCATTGCTGCAAAATTGGAAAGGCAATTGGCCAAAAGAGCTAGTTTCTTGAAGCCGGTTCTAATGCGTGCACTGTCCACTCGGAACTGATCGTGTTTCGGGTGTCTTTTGGGTCTTGTGGCTAGCTTTGCTAAATGGGTCGCATTTGAAAGTGATTGTAACTGCGGCGCATGTGCCGCATGACATGCAGCTTGACAATTTTTTGCTCTCTATGCATGTGTGCGAGTGTGTGTGTGTGTGTGTGTGTGTGTGACACCATTTTTGGAGATTTGACAAACTAGAAATTAATGCATTGGGCAGCACTTGCCAGCTGAGAGCGGAACAAAATTTGTTCACTCTTTTGGGTTACTTAGGATACCCAATTCTTATCTTTGGACTTATTTGCGTGTGATGCACGAAACTGTCCAAAGATAAGAATCAAGTCTTGCATAGCAATGTAGTCAGATACAATGACATTTGGTAACCTGATTTTAATTGTTGAATATATGCTAGGTAGTCTATTGCCTATATTCTCGACTACTTAAACATTTTAGACTATTAGAATAGGCGGGATGGGCTAATATGAATATGAAATACTCATTCTAGGAAGCAGCGCATCTCGAGCTGCTTTTCAGTCGATAGCTGAGCTGCTTTACATGTAAATAAGCTCACATAACTGTCAACACATTCTATATGCCTTCCCTTGCACAACTGATTTCACAGCTTTCACCCAGAAGAAGCCATACAACTATTTTCGCGACTACGCGTCCCACTTTGCATCATAGCTCATATATGCAAAGTAGTTTGGCTTAGGCTGGGGATTAATGCGAATTTTTACATGGGACACATTTGGCTAACGAGCATCCGCAGCTTCCGCATGAGTGGGCCATAAATAAATGTTAGCCAGGAGTTGAGTTTTGGTCACGGCTATGGCCAAGTGGCTGCAGTTAGTGCTGCATTGTATTTGATGGTTAATGAACTCTATGGCTAAAACTCTCTCATGCTTCAATTGTAATTATGCACTGACTGGCTGGATGGCTGTCTGTCTGTCTGGCTGACTGCCTGTCTGCCTGGTTGGCAACATTGTTTAGTTGGTTGCGAAAACGAAAGTGCGCGAAAGCGGAGTTCGAACCCGTTATGGTCAACTTACATCATCGTACTCCTCCTCCTCCGCCTGCTGCTGTTGCTGCTGCTGGTGCGATTGCAGCTTGAGTTGTCCTTTGCCGAGCAGCGGAGCGGAGACCGCCTGATAGCTGGGGCGACGCGGGGCTGGAGCAGGCGCTGCCTGTGGCTGGCGATAGACGCTCTGCTGCGGCTGTGACTGATACTGCAAAGGAGAAGAGGAAGAAGCCAATAGGTGAGTCGACACAGCTTTTCATTACCTCTAGACTCTGCCCACCTGTGGCTGCAAATAGTCTCTGACCGCTGGCGCCACGTATCCCTGCGGCTGCTGCTGCTGCTGCGCGCGTATCTGCTCGGCGACCGTATCCTTCAGCCTGATCTGCTGCCCAGAGCTCACATATTGCTGCGTCTGCTCGGAGTTCTGCTCGTAAATGGGCGTGCCATCGGAGGGCCGCTGCTGTTGCTGCTGCTGCTGCAGCTGTTGATAATACTGACGCAAATAGGCGGGATCGACGCCCTGTTGCGCTTGGGCGACTCCGCAAATCGCGACCGTGGCCACCACGAGCAATAGCTGCATTATAATACGAGTTTGTTTCTCTGCTCTTGCCGTTGCTGCTGCTGAACTACACTTTACACTTTATTGCCGATCGATACAAAACGCGCACGTCCCACTCCAAGTCACAAAACTATCTGCGTTCACTGCAAACTCCAATTGCACTTTTATATCGAATACCTCTCACGATCTCAGCTAGCTGCGCCACAACCAGAGCCACAGCCAGACGACTCGGAGCTAGAGCGGCATTCGGTTGTCTCTCCGGCTCTCTAACGGTCGTTGGTGCCGCGCTTTGTTGGTAGCCTCTTTTTTGATTTACTACAGCTGTTGGCTTGCATAGTTGGCACTTCCGTTGCCATTATATCATGGACAGTATTGTCTCTCTGTACGTACCGCCTGCGCGCTCTTCCCCTCATCTGCTCAGCTGATTTTTA